AATTTATGCTTTTCTTCATATGTCAATTTAACCTCCGGCACATAGCTTTGAAACCATGTAAGGATGCCTAACACTTTCCATATGGGAACTGAATTGTGGCTTTTAATTGCACCAACTGGTATCATTCAAGGATAATTCCCTTGGAATCCAGCTTTCTGCTACAGTATTGGCCAATTCACTAATCTCATCACCATGGCACTAATACTTTCAGAGACTCTTTGATTGTTAATATTCGTATTATAATTTTCCCAAACCAGAGCTGTCAAGATATACTATGTGCACCACTAATTAAATTATATTGGTTTGTTGGCACCAAATTTCAACACTAAATAAGATTCTGCCTCCCTGTCTTTCAATACAAAGTTTGGCAATTTTATTTTAAATGCCATACACAATATTTTGTATTTCAAAATATATTTTTAGTCATACCAATATCTAGCCCTGCTGAGTCTGCTGCTTTTTTTAATCCTCTGAGTAAATACAAATAATTATCTATACAATACTGACATTAATGTACTGGGAAATATTTCGGTTTAAAAGATCACTTCAAGCAGTCACACAAGATATCACCCAAGGAAATGTTAATTGCTCTTGTCACCACATCAATAAGAAAGCAGTCTTTCAAATGTCATTCCACCCATGAGGTGACCCCAAAGTAGCGCTACAATTAAATCTTCCAATTCAACAGCCTTTAAGCCATACAGACCACTAAAAAAAAAAATCTCTTCTCTGTTTATTATTTTTATTTTGGATGAATGACCTACCCAGCTGTGTCTTCCATAAGGCTATGTATTTTTACATGCACACACACGCATGCTATTTAACAGTGGTGGATTGGGAAGGGCTTTTTTTTTTTTTTTTTAAAATTGAAGATCATGCTAGAGGAGCAGTGAAGTTGACACTGGCGTAGTCTCCTCTCAGCCATGCAAGGAATGCCCATTAATGTCACTGGCAGTTACAGGCACAGAACAAATGGAGAACAAGCCCCACCTCTGAAGCAGTGATGTGCCTCAGCATTTCATACTGTATTATTCCCAGACCAGATACTCAACTCTAATTAATATCAATTAAGGTTGAACATGAGGATCACTAGCAGAAGTGGTAAGCTGAAGTCTTTCCTATTTTACCTAAAATGATTACTTACAACGTGGCTCACTGTGAGCTAGTTTGAAATTTAATTAAAAATATGAGATTTTTTCCAATCCCAAGCACAGATCTCAATGAGACATGCAAGAAACTAGTAAAATTTCTTATGGCTTTGAAGATAAAAGTAAATTGAACTAAGCAAATGTCATCTATAATATTTTCCCCTCTAGCATATAACTACTTCTCAGTTAAATAAATAAATACATGAATATTTGCAAACAATGCTGATCTCCAAAAACAGTTTGTAAAAGTAAACACACTGAATAAATTTAAACTTAAGAATTATACAGGATAATCCACAGTGTCAGAAAACCTTTCTGGGCACCAGTTAACTCATTCATAAAGCGGCAAAAGAAGTGTATTCACTTGCTCTAGCAGATTTACAGCCCCAGTGGTTTCAATTAGCTTTGAAACTAGAAGATGACTCTGGACCTCATACTTTTCAGGGTTGCAACAAAATTACTTTTTTCGTTAATTCTACATGATGTGGAAGGCTGCAGCCCAGCCCTCAGCCTCCACAGTAATTAAAACATTTAGAGCAGAGCAGCCCCTGCTGGGCGGGCGGCAATGGTTTAATGAGATCAGAGCTCTTAGCCCAGAACAGAAAGTTGTATACACACCAGAAGTGCATATTTCAGATACGCTCCCCCTCCTCTGGCTCATGCCTTCACCCAACAATTTACTATGAGATCCCTCTCAGGTGACTGATGCATTTGGCAATAGCCAGACACTGATTACCGTTCTTCCAGTGAATTGGCGGGGGGAACACACGGATGGATGGGACGAGGCATGGATGACATGTCAGCTGAAGGAAGTCTGCTCTAACCAAGAAACTCTCAAAACTTCAGTTCAGGAAGAGAAAAGGTGCTGTATTCTTGAACCCTCCCTGTGTCAAACACCCCTTGAGTGAACTGACGTCAAGACCTCCCCTCCACAACTATTGTAAATTCAATCGTTCTAGAGAGGAGCACAAATGACATTTTATTGCTTTCCTGTATTAGCCACTCATTCCTCTTGTAAAACGCTACATGAATCCCCCTGAACTTCAGTGTCATCTCCCCTGGACGACTAACTTTAGCAAAACAATTCAGTGTCTCTGTTCTTGAGGAAAACAGCCTTCCAACTACAACCAAGACAGAATTTTTGGCTTATAGAGAGCAATGTAAGTCAAATTTCACTATCGCATTCGAGTCCTAATCAAAATGATCCAAATCTTTGAAGTTTCAGACTTGGAAGCAACTGAGCTCTCTCCTCTCCCACCAACTGGTCTTTGGAAGTACACTGGATTTCACCAAATAGGGCCCTACATACTAATGAAGCCACCATCAACGAAACTCTGGTTAAGGATTCCTAGGAGGAAAATTATTTCTAGGACCATTATTTGTTTTAAACTGAACTGGATGTTTCTCCAAATGCAGATATTTTCATGTGTTTGATCTAACTCTTTCTGCCATAAGTCACAAATGCAGCAATTAGGACCTATTTTAGAGAAAAAATCATGTTTTAATGAGAAGCCAAAGTTTCAGCTGTGACACAATAAAACTGTACCATTCCACAGAGCCTTGTAAAACTCACTGAACAGTTTAGGGAGAATTTTGAAATAGTAAGGAAAAAAGCCCTTGGTAGATTGAAGTACAACTGTACTACGTTACTGGGGAATACACAACTGTCCCACACAATCCCATTAGTCGAAGTGACTAGTATTTCTGTAACTTGAGGTGAATGAAGAGCCAAGAGGTTAGGCTACAATTCGCTTTGTATCTTGGTATAATTATACAAGAGATCAAAGAGATCTCAGAAGAGAAACAGTCATGCAATCTCAGTTATGGAGTCAATAGCTGTGACTCCATAATCCTTGTCAAAAAGACTGTACATATGGCACATCTGGTTCCAATGTAGGATTAGAAATGCATCCTTCCATATTACCAAAAGTTCATATTTTAAAGGACCTTTAATGTAGCTGTCACAGTGTGCCTGTGACAGGATGACAATTAAACTAAATCAATTAGCAGGCTATATACGCATACAGATACTACTAAATACATTAGGCAATAAATTGGAAATATTTTCAAACATTCAGAAACAGCTCTATCAGGATGACCGTAAAATGCCTCATGGGAACAGTGCTTTTAAGTGTACTGAAACCTATTTACAGCTTTATAAAGTAGTAAAACTATTGACTAAGTTTTAGTTAATGGCTTGCTAATTGCTGAGCTATCATGAGGAGGACACCTCAAGTAAGAAGAGAAATACTGTTCTACTGTCATTCCAGCTGAGCAGACCTCATGGAACTGAAAACTGAAGAGTTTTGTGGAGAGCAAGTTATTTTCTTTTCAGAAAGCAAACTGTCTTTGTGGAAGAAAATACATTTCACAAAGCTGAAGTCAGAGTTTTTGACCTTTAACTGTTGTATTTTAAACCCATGAGTTTGGTGAGTTGAACTTCTTTCCTAGAAAATATATATGTGAAAGGTAGAACGTATCTAAAAAGCTTGACTCACAAAAATGGGGATAATGAAAAAGAATTAAAAGCACATGCTTTTACTCTTTGCCCCTGTATCATACGTGTATGTACCATTATTAATGAGAACTTCTTTCTTTGGACACATTGTCTCCAAGTAAAGCACAATTAAAAAAAAAAAAAAAAAATCACTTCAACCAACCATACCTGCAAGCTGAACATAAACTGATTATGCTCATCAATTACAAACACTTAGATCAATATCTTACCCCCTTTGCCTTACTTCTAGTGACTCCCAAACAATTTATCCTCGTCTAAATACAATTCTGGTGGTATTTAAAAAGTCATCATTAGCTTTTCCCATTCTACACGTCTTCTACGCAGTTTAACACCCCACCTAAAATGAAGTATTCTCCACTTGCGACTTAATTTTTCCTGAGACACAAGAAGTCCGGGCTTCTGACAATGAAACTGGTGGCTAACAAAGCGAAGAGCCTGCAGGAGGTTTGGTGGCCCTGCTCTGCTTGCACTTTCAGAGCCACATTCCTTGCTGGGAAGCACAGATTCCAATCTCCCCATCTCTCAGGTTACTTTTCCACTGATGAAGCTTTCAGGGCTTGATCCAAAGCTCACGGAAGTCAATGGGAGCCTTTCAGTAAACATCAATAAGCCCTGGATCATACCCCGAAACACTGTGAGGACCATATCGAAGAATTGTTAAGTTTGTTTACCTCCCATCATGCCTTTTTGTTTAAAGGGGCAACATTAAAAAAAAAAACAAAAAAAAACAAAAAAAAAAAACAAAGGCAACTTAAACATTTCCTACACGGGAGGACTGGAGGAAAGAGAAAGGGTGGGAAGCGACCCGTGTGGTAACAGCCGGGACAAGTGACATGTGCAGTAACTCTTATGGAGAAAGTCAGCCACGCATTATTAGCAAAGAGCAAATAAATAACAATACACTCTTCGGGGACTTCTCCTTTCCTGAATTCCTCTGCCAAAATGTCACAGACAAACTTGTGCACCAATCAGGGTCCGCAAGCTTGCGCACACTGGCAGGGTGCTGGGCTTTTTCCAGAGATTCTCCGTTTGTTCCCGTTTGTGAAGGATTTTGTTCTAACCGTACTGCCCAGACACCAGCGGACAGGTCCCCTTACTCCTCTGGCTTTTGTACCAGCACCAAGTTTGCTCTGCAGCTCCTAACTTCATCAAAGGACTGAAGGAAACCACCCACGGGGCAGCCCCTTGGAGCAGCATTAGGGCAAAGAAAACCCTTCCTTTGCACAACCGGCCCTTGGGAGGGAGAGAGGGATGTAGAAAGAGCTTTTGGTTTTCCGTATTTCAAAAAGAAGGGGCGGGGAGGGGGGGTGGGGGCAGCGAGGAAGCTGACATACCCTGGCGCTGGAGAGCCTGCAAACAGCCCGGTGCTGGCAGCCCTTGGGGGGGAGCCCCCCGGCCCCCCCGCGGCCCGCCGGGGCCGAAAGCTGGGGGGAGAGGGCAGGGGGACGGGGGCAGCCGCAGGCGCCGGGGGAAGGCGTTCAAAGTTACTAGCAGCAAGGAGCCATCCCTACCTTCTGGACTTTCTCGGGGTTTACAAACGGCAGCTAGGCAGATCCGGAGGAAAGTGTGTGGGGGAAATAATAAAGGAAGATCATTAGACACCGGTATAAAATCACAGCAACAGCCGAGTAAAATCCGAATAAGGGGAAGGGGCTAAGAAAGTAGCAAGTGAAAGGAACTAACCATGTTTCGAGTGAAGTTTCCCCATCTCTCTGCATTGATCTGCAATTACGATTCATTTGACTGTTTTCAGTAGGGTCAGGTTCGCTTGTTGTTATTTGTGTAGATGTATAAAATCCCAGCGTGTTTAGAAATCCATGTGCTCCGCTTCTCCCTGCTAACGCACAAGCGAGATCAAATCTCAGTTCCTCTCCTGCAGCACGGTCCGGCGTCCCCCTCTCCGCTCCGGTCTTCCTCCTCTCTCCTCTCTTTCCCAAAGACAGAGGCGGTTACAAAAGACCTTACTTCACCCACCGGGGAACATGATTGACACCTCATTGAGATTAGACCACTTGCAGGCAGCCTCCGCCTTCCCATTGGGCCGCGGCGGCAGATGAAAGCGGCGAGTGAGCCTTTTGGAGGCTCCAAAAAAAAAAAAAAAAAAAAAAAAAAAAAAAAAAAAAAAAAAAAAAGACACGGGGGGCGCTGCTC